CTTATCTGGATCTCACTTTCTTTGCACAGTTACTCTCTGCTCAGTGAGAATAATCCTGTCTTGGGATCTGCAGAGAAGTGTTTAAATTTATGATTCAAGTGGATACAGTTCCTGTGGCAGAAACTGTGAAGAGGTTCATGAATTTCTAATTAGAAGGGATTCATTCAATGAATGTAATTTCCTAAACTGAGTTGTGGTGTGGAGCATAGATGAAGCGTAATGTTTAGGTAATTAAAATATGCACATTCCCCCTAGAATATGTGAGCCTTACCCTGGAAAGCCATGTTTCCTTTTGGATGCTCTTCTTTACTGTGCATGTGTATTTCAGGAGCAGAACAGCAAAGCCTTCAAGGTGGAGACGTCCCTTATCTGTTACGTTACATAGAGAACAGCTGAACAGAAGTTATCGCAGGAGGAAAAGTCCCTCATGAATTCAAAACCTGCCATTCCAGTCAGGAAATGGGTTTCCAGCTTCTTCCCTCTGTATTTTGTGCTTTGTACTTTCTTCCTGTATGCGTTTTTCAGGCTTAACTCATTGTAACACTGTTATCAAGATTTTTACGAGGAAGGTAGTATATAAAACCAAAATCACTATATTTAGAAGCCTGCAATAATTTGAACAGAAAACATATCCAAATGATCACACAAATCACCGTGTAGAAAGCAAGCAAAAAAGCTACCTGTGAAGGAAGCTGCTTTCTCGAGCTTTGAGGTGAACAGCTTAAGGCTTGAAGCAAAAGCCACAAATCCTGCTTGTTAACTTAAACACACATTTTCTTTCAAAATTAGAGATTTGTAAAAAGCACTTTGCAGTGCAGAAGGGTTGGTGATACCGGGCAGTACCTGGGCAGCGCGATGCCTGCAGACCTGCCCTTCCTCTAGCTGCTGGATCACAGCTTCAGCCAGGACCTCAGGACATTGCCGTGCGGCTGTCCTCTTGATGGCATTGGCTTCTGGTGAAGGAGGAGACAAGAGGGAAATAGGGCTGCTAAGAATATGGCTTTAAAGCTGGGAGAGCAAAATGCTTCTGAGAGTTGAGATTGTTCTAAATCGGCTGTAGGTGGCTTGATGAAGGAATCTCTAGTTTAAATGCAGTGGGCTTCCCTCCACAGGGTATTAGCATTACTAATTTTCAACAGCTCCCTCTGGCTTTTTTTTTCTTTTTTTTTTTTTTTTTTCAGTATTTGAGATACTGTGCTTTGCTAACCTTGTACCTCAAGGGGAGTTGGACAAGCCACTGCTAAGCCACCGAACACTCTTATGTGTTCCCTGGGGATTGGATACAATTTATTAATATCTCCATTTCTCCAGAATTTTCGGATCTTAGTTGCTGTGATTTAACAGTGTATTCATCGACAGTGCCTGGGTACAGGATGAGTGACTTAGGCAGAGCCCCTTAAATCCGAAAACCATGCAAGTAAATCAGAGTCTTTTGGGAAAGACTGGGTTTAACCTCATAGCTTAAGGAATCTGCAGTTGATGCACTTCTGAGATCACCGGGTTTCTTGCACCAGCATCGCATAGTGTGCAGGTGTTGTGAATGTCTGGTACACCTCAGAGAAGCTTTATGGGCACACGTGGAGGGCAGTTATCTGGGGCAGCAGACTGCTAGGACAGAAAATACCTGTCGCTGTGATGCTTCCTTTGTCAAAACCAGAGTCCTGGAAATGCCTCCAGGAATGCCTTCTCTCTGGAGAAGGGATGTCTGTTACTGCAGCCACTGTTTCTATAAACCCAGGCTCTCCTCTGTTTCATTTTTAAAGTTTAGTTCAGCAGGGTGAAAGGTGTACTTTCATGAAAGTAATCTTAGAAAATATTTTTTGAAAAGATGTTATAGCGTACTTGAGAGCTTGCCAGCAGTACAACATTTGCTCAGCCTTCTAGAATTAGCCCTTGGTATAAAAAAGACCCTGATCCTGCTGCAGTAAAGTCAACACGACCTGTGGATTTTAATGTGAGGTTTAACGTGAGGTTTAATGGATTTTAACCTAAATAAATAGAATTGCTCAAAGCTGATAAAAGTGCTGTGGTATAGATCTATGCCACAAGTTCAGTTGAGAGTAGTATTTTCCTAAGTATTTTCCTTTGGTTTCTTGTCTAAATAACAATAGGAAAAATATCATTCTGCTGGAAAGGCAGTTGTGAATATTAATCACAACAGAACGGGAAAGTAGAGCTTTAGAGGAGGGAGAGGGGAGTTGTCCTTGCTTCTGTCCTCCACAGTCATCTTAATCCTATAAAACTGTTTCTGCTCTAACAGGGTGGGCTTGATGATAAATGAGAAAAAAAGAAAGCAAATACAGTCAGCTTTTTTAGGGTTCTGTTACAGGTGATAGAGCTGACGATTCAGCTGAATAGTTCTAGGCTGAAAATAGTAACTTTCCATCTAATTGCAATCCCAGGCTATGACTTCACAAGCAACTGCTCAAGCAGAAGACTTCTGTAAAGCCTTGGGAGCACAGATAGCATCTTGTAAATGGTAGTTTACAAAACCTAGCATATTTTTTTTAAAACCCTCTTGCAGCAAGCAGCGTTTTAAGGCAACGAATAAATCATCAGGAAGTTGAGATATAAAGGCATGTTGGGGACAGAGTGGATGCTCCTGACTGGCATACTGAAGCTTCAGCTTTACTGAAGCTGATAAAATGCTGCTTTTATCATCTGTGCAGCAGTGTGTGGACAAATGAGGTGCTCACAAGTGGGAAGCATTTGGACCATGGGGCTTGTCTTTCCTTCCCTCCTTGCGGACTGGTAGGTGGGGGTGGGAGAGTGCCCGAGGAGGATTCGCAGCGATGTGCCTGCAGGCTTTTCCAGATGCAAAACTTAGTCGCATTCCATTTTGACAGAGCTAATGGAGAAATAGAGGGATGCCTGGTGCCAAATAGCTAATTTCACTTCCCTGATCTGTGAGCATCTGTGGAATTTCCCTGGGCTCGGTCCAGCTTCTGCTTGACTAGAGGAGTCCTGTTGGATCTGTCAGTAACTGAACGTGGTTGCCTTCTCATGCAGACTTCCGCTCAAGGGCTTCATTTCCCTTTTCACTATAAAATCAGCAAAAGCAGATCTCCAGAACACGCATGGTCAGGCAAAATCCCCCAGTTGGGCAGTGACCCTGTGTCAGCCCTGTTTACTACCACGCACATGGCCGTGAGCCCTCCTGGCTGCTGTGGCCAGCAGTGCGAGTGAGCTCAGTCGTGTGGCGGGGAGTAGGGTCCTCTCTGCTCTAGATCATGGAATCACGGAATTGTCAGAGTTGGAAGGGGCCTTCTAGAGATCATCTAGTCCAACCCCCCTGCCAAAGCAGGATTGTCCAGAGCACATCACTCAGGACGGCATCCAGGTGGGTCTTGAGAGAAGGAGACTCCACAACCTCCCTGGGCAGCCTGTTCCAGGGCTCTGTCACCCTCAACGGAAAGTTTTTCCTCATATTTGAGTGGAACTTCCCATGTTCCAGCTTGTGCCCGTTGCCCCTTGTCCTGTCACTGGGAACCACTGAAAAGAGTCCAGCTCCATCCTCCCTCAAACCGCCCTTTAGATACTTGTAAGCATTGATAAGGTCTCCCCTCAGCTTTCTCTTCTCCAGGCTAAAGAGCCCCAGCTCTCTCAGCCTTTCCTCATAAGGGAGAAGCTCCAATCCCTTAATCATCTTTGTTGCCCGACGCTGGACTCTCTCCAGCAGTTCCCTGTCCCTCTTGAACTGGGGAGCCCAGAACTGCACGCATTATTCCAGTTGTGGCCTCACCAGTGCAGAGCAGAGGAGGAGAATGACCTCCCTCGACCTACTGGTCACACTCTTCCCTGTGCAGTCTTGCAGCCTTTCTGGGTGGGCTAATCCAAAACCACTTCATGGCAGTCAATGGTCATTTCCTGTTGAGTATTAAAAGGCTGCATTTCCAGAAAATTGTGTCTGGTTTTCTTTTTTTTGAATATTAAATCTCAAGAACATTTTGTCACCCTGTCTGTAAACAAAGGGCATAGGAAGCACAATTTCACAGAGATAAGAGACTTACATGTAGGCTGAGGAATGCGTGAGCAAAAAGACCTCCAGTATTAAGAAATGAATGCATGTCCTTTTTTTATTTTTTTTGGAGTGTGTATACTACTGTGGTTGCTTACTCAGCTATGATGGCCTTTTGGTTCCAGTGCTCGCTTTGCAATAACTTCACTGGGGTAGACCGGCTGAGAATAAAATAGCCATAAGTCTGTTCCCCCATGGTTTCACACGCAGATCAACCTGCAAAGTGTAGTTCTTGGTACTGACAACTATAATTTCTTCCTCCATTCTAATTGGAGTTTTCCCACTGACTTCAGCTAGACTCGTTGTTAATAGCATATGCCTTTTAGGCAGCTGGCTTGTAATCTTAAATTAGATACCACCAGTGGGACTTGCCTCATCTAACTGGAGGCAGCTGAAACCCGTTGGGCGAGTTGTTCTATAAGAGTTCCCTTCTCTCTCCATTGATTGCAAAGGGAGCCTGGATGACCGAGTCCTGGGATAGATGGTTGTATCCCAGATGTTTGAACCAAGGTGATTTGAACTCTGCCCTGTTGACAAATTTCTGAGCGAGAAACTGGCCATGGTGAAATGTATTAGAATCCTCTCAGTGTTTTTAGCTCAGAGAATGCTCTTTTAATGTCAGATTTTCCCTGTATATTCTTCCTGAAGGTAAATTTTGGAAATTGCACTTGAATTTATCTAACAAATTGTGTGATGATCTAGTGAAAATAACACATTCCTCTTTCTGTTTTGTTTTGAGTCACTTCTGTCTGGAAATTTTACCTTCTTCTGTACTCTCCATTGATAAGGATGGAATTACCTGTTTTACTGGTGTATTTCAGAATTTATCTTAGGAGTGATTCTTTCTGGAGAGGTTAATGTTTCCCATTTGAACAGTTTTGAGATAGTCCTCAAGTTCCATTACCCTATTCCTTCTTTCCCTTCAGATTTCTGCTTTCTAGTGTTTGGATATTTCATTAACCCGACTTTTGTTCTGTTTTAGGAGAAACCTGATGCCAGCCCCACGTCTCTACAGCTGCGATCCCAAATTGAGGTAAGGTCTTTGATTTTGATCACCCACATTTGTTTGTTTGTTTGTTCATTAGTTCCTTAGTTTGATATTCTGCATAAATAGGGCAAAGGCTGCTCTTGTGTCTGCTCTCACTGCTGTGTGTCTTCTCTTGTAGGAGTCACTTGGTCTCAGCAGCACTGCATCAACACCTGACACTGAAAGAAAGTAAGTGAAGGCACAGGAGGGGAGAAGGGGAGGGACGGGGAATTTGGTACGTTTTCTATTTCTTTGAAGTAAATTAATTTTAGATTGTATTGGTGTTTCAAGATTTCAGATCCAGACGCTATTAATGAAACCCATTTTTGAACCTGCTCCTTCCCTTGTTCTTTTGGCCTTTTATTATTTTGGCTTTTAGATCGAGGGAGAGTTATCTGTCCTTGCCTCTGTGAGCACTTGGGGTGTGCATACACCAAGATGACTCATAGTCGTTTTTGAGGAGCTTCACTGATTTCACATTTTCTGCAAATTAAACCTGCTTAAAAAATACCTTTCTGTGACTAGACCTAAATGCAGCTAAAAAGAGATAGACAAGGGGAAGGGAGAGTTACAAACTTAAATCACTTTCCTTTTCCTGTGCACTCCTGGGTTTGTAACTGTGCTTTTGAAGAAGGTGCCAAGGGAATGAAGTATTTAAACCCAAGTTAAAAGGAGCTTTAATTTTAGCAGTCCTTAATAAAAACCTCTCTGTGAGGACTGAGAGGGTTTCTGTTTACTGTCACCTCCTGCTGCAATGTGTGTGCTTGTTTTCTGCGCCTCCTTCCTTTGATCCCAAGATCTTGGATCCCTACTGCTAAGGGTAACGTGCAGCAGTGCATGAAGACAACTGACACTGTATTTCCAATTGCCTGCGCTTCATGGGATGGTGCCAGCTGGACTGGTTCAGAGGGAGTATGTGGAATCCAGTTGTGATGTGACGTGCTTTCGCAAGGTTTTACAGTCCCACGTTTTAGTATCTTCTAGTGATTCAACACTGGACAGTCATAGGAGGGTTGTAAGAAATTGCCACCCTTGCTCTGGCTAGTTCAGTAGAAGGAGTGTCAGTCCTGGAGGGAGCTGTGGTGGATGCGGGGTATGGGACTCACCTGAGCACCAACCATGTCGAAGGCTGTTGCACAGTAAGGAACAGCTGCTTAGGGGCTCCTGTGGGATCGTCTGAAAACTGGTTCACAGTAAAGACCTTGGAAAGCAATGTGTTAGCTTTTAGAGGTGCCTTGCCTCTTCATCACTCAGAGAAAGCAGAGGCAGTTTCCTTGGGGTAGATGCTCATTTTTGAAACACCTTAAGACAGGTAAAGTGAATTTTACCTTGGGTACAGTCACTGCCCCCATTTTGCTTGCTGTTAACAGAGAAAGCCTAGAAGGCGTAGAGTTTAAAAGTGGTGGTTCAGATACTGACAGATGGAAAAAAGTTTTCGTCAAGGATACCTCCCTGTATAACATTATAATGAAACCAGAAGTACCAAATGGATGGGAACATTATGAGATCTCTAATCTGGGAAGCAAGCCTCCAAGGTTATCCTATAATCATAATACTTTTCTCTCAGTCTCAAAGCACTTTTCCCTTGGGTAAATACCATCATCCTACCTCAGGTAATAATGAGATAAAGATCTCGGAGGAGGACAGCACACAATTGGGAATAAACTTCTCTTACAAGTTCTAGCCAGCTTCCTAAATTCTGTCTCTGTGTAGGTGTTGTACCACAAATACCTGAGTGAGAAGACAGTATCTACAAAAATAAAATCTTCTGAGTGACTCTGTTCTGAAAGAGCCCATTTACCTCACTGAAAATAAATTAACCTCGTTATCTGAGTTCAAATGGAAGAGACCTGTAATTTTGGGGGACTTTTCAAGAATGGAAGTGTCCTGTTTGAGGATTTGTCTGTCAGTTGAAGGTTTGTGTGTGATTAACCCGATCAGATACACGGAACTGCCACAGGGCAGGTTGTGTCAAATATTTGCGCAGTAAGAAACAAGACAACATGGTGCATGCTAATCGGGCAAGGTGTTGAAAGTAATAAATTATATCTACTCCATATTGTACAAATTATTCAGAACTGAAATTATGCAGGCCTGTGCCTATTAGTGACAGCCTGCCACATCAGTGCTGGAGGGCTGAATTGTCATGGGAATGACTCTTCTGGGGGGGGCGGGGAGTTTATAAAATTAATCTTCAGGAAGATGACCACTGTAAGTCCATCCAATGCATCTGTGCTTGTTGTGTTGAATTTGATATTTTTCAGGGGAGGATGGCATGTTGGCCCTAGAGGCTTTTTTTTGGTGTTTATGACTTTCATCTGAATTTGCTGTGTGGGCATGCTAGGAGACAGGAAAGCTTGTCCCTTTAGGGATGCTGCTTTGGGACCCCCTCATTCTGCATGAAAGATCTGGGGTAAGCCTTTTACAAAACTCCTTTTGTTGTGAGAAGTTTGCCAAACCTGAAACTCGATGCAGATGTGCATTAATTTCTCATGTTCACAAAGAGATTTGGGGAGCAAAAGAAAAAATTTGTCCCGTAATAGACATCTAGATTTTCAGGAGCTGAAAAATCCGTTGTTGTGAGTGCTCTTTTAAAGCCCAAGTAAATGCTTGCCCAAAAAAAGTTATATTTCTACATATTGAAAATATAAATGTTTTCCCAGGGTGAGTGGAGGCGAGTTGTTTGTGTGTTCTGAGTGGGCTGCTTCAGAAAGTAAAGGCAAGTCCCAAGGGAAAGCCTGTGCTGGGACAGGGAGGAGAGAGCAAGTGGCCGGCTGGAACGTGGTCGCTCTCGGTAGCTCCCTCACCCAGTGCTGCTGCCTGCACACCCCGCAACTCAATGCTACCAAGGTCTGAAGTTTTAAAATAACACACCTGGATGGCGGTTTAATTTGCCAGAGTTGAGAGATTCCAGGCAGAAAGAGGCTTTGAGGGAGTCTGGAAGACGCTGTGTTTGTTTTAACCTGGTTTGGTTTTCCTTTTCTGTGGTGCCCAACTGAAGGGAGAACCTGACAGGCTCCACTGTGCACCGCACCGAAAATAGATTAGCCTTGGTGCTCTGCGGTCGGAAAAAATCCTGTTTGTGTGGACAAGCAGTGTATCTTCGGTCTTGCCTTGGGTCTTAGTAACCCTGCTGCCCAGTCTGATCAATGCCGGCGTGAAATTAGTCGGTGCCCTCCATCCAGCAAGTTGCTCAACAAGTATCTGTCTAGGAGCGATGTGCTGTAACTCAGAAGAGCAGCCTTAGTGCCTGGAGGGAGGCAATAGGGGTTAAACGAGCCTGGAGGCAGAGTCGCTTGTCACTTCAAGTCATTGTCCCTCCTAAAGGCATTTGGGGCGATACAACCTTCCGCTGTTGCTGACAACCCTGTTCCTGTTAATTAGATGAAGCTACAAAAAAAGACTGCGCATACGAACCTGCTCTATGCATTATAAATGCCCTACCAGTGGTTTTCATTCGATTGATTCTGACAAAGAGAGACAAATCTTTGCTGTAGCAAAGGCCTCTGAGACTTATGTGAATAACAGCGAGGGTAGTGATGTGGCCTGAAAAGCTATCTGTAAACAACAGAAAACAAAGTCATGTTTGTTCAAGCTCGGCCTCGCAATTGCCCTGATTTTTTGGCCATACTGGAGTTCCCTCTGTAAATTGAAACAGCTGGTCAGTCTTCCGAGTCATACACTATGCAAGCAATAACACAAAGTGTGGAATGAGGTGTTTGTAGCTTTCTTCTCTTTATAATATATCTCATTTCCCTCTGCCCTTTCCAGGATGCCCACTTTTAAACTGCAGTCTTGCTGTCGGTTGTGGTGCCCATGTAACTCTGCAGATTCTCAGTGTGCCTTCAGCGAAGCGGCAACAGCATCTTTAACAGTGATATTATTAATTTTAAACAAAAACCTCCCCAGAACTGCTAGCGCTCCTGTGTAGACGCACTGACTTTTGCTTTCACTATAGAAGAGTCAGCAATGTAACAAATATGCGTAAATGTGTTCTTAGCAGTTACTGTTGCTTCTTTGTCCCCATACCATGTTGATCTGGGGATGTTTTGTATATATCCCTATTATTTCCAAGTGATGGCAACACCCCAAGGATGTTTACTCAGGCAGGGGACTGAGCGGGGTTTTCTCATAATTGTAAACAGAGCATTTAAAACAATGTAATCCAACTTTTAGCCTGTTCCCATTTTTGAGCATTCAAACCTACATGACAGACTGATGAGCTCTGCATGTTTGCCAGGAAATCCAGGTTAAACCCAGTCCCCTGAACTCAGGCTTCTGCATCCTGACTCTCATCCTGTTTTCAGAAGAACTGGGGATGTAGCAGAGGGGAAGTTGTGTATTTGCCCCCTTGGGAAATAGATCTGTTTGCTGTCACTGTTTGGTCCAGCGGCCTCTGGGCAGGTTTCGAATGTGGTGTATCAGAGAACTGCCAGGAAAGAGAAGGAAGTGGGTGAGAGACCCAAGAGCACTGCATACGGATAGGATGAGGTACAGTCACTCCTATATACTAATTTTTTTCTTTGCAGCTGCTAGAGAAAGGAAGGACAAAAAACAACGCATGAGGTAACAATTGTGGCTGTATCTGGTGTTTCACGGGTATTCCCACCACCTTTGGGTGGCAGTGGGTGTTAGGAATTGTCACATCTTACGTGAATCACTGTTTTCTTGAACTGCACCAGTCAAGCACACTCCTGACCAAGTAAATGGTCATACTTCATATTAAGTGCCCACAATTCTTCCTGCTGTGCTCCTCAGCCTGCAGCACAGTACAGTTTAAGTGTTCCCAACCCTGTGATCCTCAGGACTTCAGTCCCAGACACTGCCAGGGCAGGAAGCTGAGCAGAAACAGACTTCTGGAGCAGAAGGTGCTGGAGAAGAACAGGCACGTGTGGGGTGCGAGTGGCACAGGGCGACATTGCTTGAGGGCTTTGCATTCCCCTGGCGTGGGGGAGCTGCTGTGCCCCCGGCAGCTGTGTCCTCACTCCCTGCCTCAGCTGCTCCCCAGAGCGAGTGTCTTTGTCACCCTCTCCCTGTGTGCAGGACATACGTCTCACACTGAACCCCTCACACGTTGAGCTCATACAGTTTGGCCAGATCTCTGGTGGCTTGTTGGGAATGTCAGAGGAGGAGTTGTAGGCCGCTACAGGTTGTTAGCGGGCGACCAGCGAGGCCACAACACGAGTGGC